GAGGCCAAGTACTTCCACCTGCACGACGACCTGCATGTCCTCATCGAGGTGTTCGCCCCGCCCGCGGAAGCCTACGCCCGCATGGGCCACGCCCTGGAGGAGATCAAGAAGTTCCTCATTCCCGTCAGTGCAGCGCGAGTCCTTCCTGCACGAGTTTTGTTTATGTATTTTTATTGATTTCGGAGAGGAAGGGAGAGGGAGAGAGGGAAACTTCCACGATGAGAGAGTCATCGATCAGATGGGCTGCCTCCTGCACACCCCACACTGGGGATCCAGGAGGCAGTCCGGCACGAGCCCTGACCGGGAGTCGAACCAGGACCTCCTGGTTCATAGGTCGATGCTCAACCACGGAGCCACGCCGGCCGGGCGTTCCCTTACTCCGGTCCTTGGTGACGTAGCAGCCATTGGTGCTTGCACAGCCCTTTGTCTACCCCGGAGCCTCACTGGCGTCATGGCAAGGAGACCTCGCCCTGTCCCCACAAATGACTGGTCATCATCCCTCCTTCCTTGTGAGACCGCAGATCTGCAGAGATTACACCACGCTGCCGAGGTCACGCGAGTGAGGAAGTCGAGGGGCACAGTTCCTGGTCCCAGTGGGGGGACTCGAGTCCTCACCCTTCTGTGACCCTGGAATCGCCCGGGGAATGCATGGCTCGCGGACACAGACCCCCGTGCCCTCCGTGTGTGGGAACAGGGCCCCGTCCACTTCTTCCCGGGATCTATTTTTAACCCGCACGGTTTTGTGTCACTCTGCCTCACACTTGCACCGGGCAAGCATTCAGCATTCGTGCGGCACGTTTTATTTAGAATGTGCTTTACAAATAACTTACTGATCCTCAGACGCTTTTAGTCCCCTGGAGGGAAGGTATTTATAGGTGGGCTGTGAGAGAGCGCGCTACTGCTGCGTCCCAGTGCGTCTCCTGGGGTCCCAGGGCCGCAGACCGTTAGAGAAAGCGTCTGTACGCACACTGACCCGGGCCCTGCTCTCAGCTCCCCTGCCGCTCGCAGTGAGCTCATCATGCCAGTCCGTTGTCTTAAAACACGCTCCCCCCACCCCCCGTCGGGACCACGGTGGTGCTCCCATCCGGCAACTAGTTCACACTCACCCTTGGGTGATGCCTGCAGAAACCCTCCTCCTCCTCCAGCTGAGTGGGGTTCCGCTCCTGTCCGGTCACGCACATCTGAACGTCCCTTTCATTGTGAACAAAGTCACACTTTTCTCCGCTGGTTACAAACGGTTCTTGCCGGTGGTTGATGGAGCCGGGAGTTAGGAGAGGGGAGGAGTCAGGGGTGACTCCCAGAGTCCCTCAGGTGGCCGTGGGGACAGGAATATAAGACACGAAAGGGAAGGTTTTCCAGTACCAGGTGATGTGCTGAGTTCTGGAAACGTTGCGTTTTTGCTCCGTGTGCAACAACCCCATGGAAATGTACAGAAGAGCGTGCAGGTCTGCTGCTCGGCGCCTCACGGGTGCTCGGCGGCGGCCGGTGGAATTGAGTTGTGAGCGGCCTTGCCCATGTATCTGTCACGTGCGATTTTAACTTCATTATAAATGTTTCGCCTGGAATTCATGCCTGAGGGGGAAGAGTTATGGCTGATGGTAGGAAATTTCACCTTGGGGAACAATACTGTTTTTTCACTTTTTAAAACTTACTGATACATTTTCGTTTTAACAAACTCAAAGCTTGTTTTATGCGGTCAACTATTTTCCTAACCCTTTCCTCTGTTAAAAAAAAATTGTGTGCTGCCCGGCCAGTGTGGCTCAGTGGTTGGGCTTCTACCTATGAACAGGAGGTCACACAATTCAATTCCTGGTCAGGGCACAGGCCCAGGTTGCAGGCTCTACCCCCAGTGTGGGGCGTGCAGGAGGCAGCCGGTCTATGACTCTGTCTCATCACTGATGTTTCTCTCCCTCTCCCTCTCCCCTCCTCTCTGAAACCAATAAAAACATCTTTTAAAGCCCGTTTGCTCCATGTTCTGACCACTCCGGTGCCTTCGTGGCGGTGACGCTGCCTGTCTCCCCAGGACTACAACGATGAGATCCGCCAGGCGCAGCTGCAGGAGCTGACATACCTGAACGGCGGCTCGGAAAGCGCGGACGCCCCCGCGGCCCGAGGGAAGTCCGCCTCACGCACCAGAGGCGTCCCGACCCCGACGACAGGCAGGTAGGCCGTCTCTCGCTGTTGGCTCCTTCCGTCGTCAGAACACGGCAGTGCAGCCGCCCTTATGTGTCTGTTACTCATGGCCAGGCCGCTCTCCCGCGGGTCACTGTGTCCTGTCGCGTCTCCCATCCTTCCAGTTGGAATTCACCGTCTTAAAGATCTTTTAAGATGAAACTAGATTCATTTTTAAATGTCCCATCCCAGTCCAAACCGGACTGATTCCTTTTCCAATCACTCGAAAGGACCCCACACTCACAGTGGAATTTTTCACGCCGATGCTGGGTCAGTCCCTTGCACCCGGGCCTTAAACGCACCCCACGCCTCCCTCAGCTCCCTTCTCATCAGTGCCGCTGCTATGAGAGGGAGAAGACAGGTGCCGGGAGTCCCGGAGCCCTCATCGGAAGCAATGAAGATTTTTCCTACTTTTGTTTTTGAATAAAGAAAAGGGGAAAGGTGCGGACCAGCCGCATTAGAAGACAGCGACAGGCCTCAGGGTGCGCAGCCAGCTCTCTGTCTGGGGCAGGCACTGCGCCAGAGGGAAGAGGGTGGACCGTTCTCTGTGCTGTCGAAGAGCTTGGCTTCCTCACACGCTTCTTCTGTTGCCCCCAGTGTCACTTCTCACCCTGTGTAACTTGTTGGAGACAGAGAAAATTGCCTTGGATCGCTCGCTCTCTCTTTTTTAATATATTTTTGCTGATTTGTGAGAGGAAGGGAGAGGGAGAGACAGAAGCACCAATGGTGAGAGAGAATCACTGGCTGCCTCCTGCACGGCCCACACTAGGGATCGAGCCCACAACCCAGGCGTGTGCCCTGGACCGGGATCGAACCCGGGACTTCAGTCCACAGGCCGACGCTCATCCCCTGAGCCCCACTGGCGAGGGCCAGGGCACCTGTTGGGAAGGCTCGGTCTCCATCAGCCCTGACAGTGTTGCCCGCTGAGGGGCAGGAGCTACGGCTGCGCCCGCCTTTTCCGTGTCTTGCCCCCCTTCCCGCCAGCCTCCGGCAGGAAGGGAGCCACCGAATGATGAGGCTGTCCTCTCAGAAGTGCACTCCCAGGGAAGAGGAAAAGTTGTCAAATGCATGAGGGGTTCCGCAGGGGAAGTGAATGACCCCACAGGCCATTCCTGCACCAGGCGGGGGCCTCACATGGATCCTGGGCACGTGGATCTCACTGGGACACAGATTTGAGGCCAAGGCCCTGAGGCCGGATCCTGCAGATCCCCTGGGGGCCTCCCTTCCTGCCACCCAGGCCGCACCTGCGTTTCCCATGGTCACTGGTTAACATGCTGGTGGTGCCTGCGCGTCCCGGCTGCTGCTGCCAAATCTATGGCTTTACCCTCTTTTCCTGCTGCTCATAGAATTTAGGAATAAAAGCCAAACGGTGCCGTAGGTTCACTCTCACTCTGCCAGGCTCTTACTGTGCTAAATGTACACAATATGTATCAGTGCACTGTTGCTCCATCTGTGACGTGAGGACTGGGTGGAGTGGTACCTTCCCGCAGCTCCCTCCTCCTCCTCCTCCAGGAAGCAGCAGACGGAGGCATCAGGACAGAGGAGTCTGCATGGTCATCACCGCTCACTGGCGCCTGCTCTAGGCACTTAATGTGTCCTGTGGGTGAACCTCGCATCCGTCCTGCGAGAGCTCATGTTGTGAAACCCACTTTACAGATGGGAAAACCAAGGCGAAGCAGTGACGTGACAGAGGAGATCTGGGCATGTTGGAACCCAAAGCATGTGCCTTTTCATCGCATCTTAAAACCTGCTACTAATTGACAAGCTAAATAATGCATTTCTGATTAATCCATACTTATTGTTGTCGGCCGTTTAAAGCCCCGTTCCCTCCAAAATAGCTGTTCCCTACTAAGACCTCTCTGGGTTATTTTTATATTTGAGGTTCAAAGCCAGAAACCCTGGTCACTCTGCTGAAAAATCTATAAACAGAAGGAACCATTACAGCCACATGCGTCCATCCATCTGCCAGAAGCCTTCTACTGAGTTGTTAGCTTTCTGCTCTTCCATGTCGTCGTTGAGAACAGTGCTGCACCCTGATTCTATCAGTTTGAACGAACTTTTCAAGTAAAAAAAAAATGCCCACAGATTATCATTGTGAATCTCAGCCGCCAGGCCTTTTTCTGTCCCCAGCCCCGCAGGGCAGCTCTGCCCTGAGCCTCGTTTTCGCGTTCAGTGAGCACGTCGCCATATCACAGGGCTTGTGTGTTAGCGTGTCACTTGGCGTCACGCCTTCCTCTCCCCAAGTTATCATTTAGAGCCATACTCTCACTGCTGCTAGGCTCCCTTCCCATCGACGTTCCTTTGAAGATGAATCTTCAGATCATCTTTTACAGATCAGTGTCTGGAGCTACACCTCTCACACGACCTGTCTGAAATTCTGTAGCAGGCACCTCGGTGTGACTCCGTATACCCCATAGGCCCACGATCTAACAAGGTCCATGATGATGGGGAGGAATTGTGAACTTCTCGAGTATATAAATGCATGTCTTCCAACGTGATGAAAGACATGCGTTTATATATCCAAAAGACATAGTGACTGTTTCGTGGCCCTTATAGTACCTTGGATGGCCATAGAGGGGTATTGGATAAGGAAGCAGGAGCCTGCCTTGGCTGGAATATACACAGATCAACTGAAATACCACCAGCGGGTTAGATGCACTGCAAGTGGAAACTGCGTTTTTCTTCTGATCACATTGAAGACTTCTCTGGATGTGTACCAGAGGAAAAGGGATGAACGAGGCATGCTAGAAATTACAGTGTCTTCCAGTGCAGTCCGGAGTGATTGGCATTGGTAAAAATTGTTCATCTGTCTTTGCTCCTTTGTCAGTGATCCCTGGACTCTTTCTGTGGATCGATTTCTGGGCTCTGTGCTTTCGCCCATCGATCTGTGTGTCTAGTCCTGTCTTCAGTCCTCACCCTCTGGGTTACGGTAGCTTTTAAGTGAGTCTTGCAGTCAGGCATTATGAGTCCTTCAACATTTTTCTTCTTGAGCACTGTATTGTCTCTTCTGTTTGTTTGTTTGTTTGTTTGTTTTTATCTTTCCTTGTGTACTTTAGAATATGTTGGTCCAGCTACAAAATAGCTTGCTGGGATTTGGATGGGGATTGCACTGAGTCCATACATCAAGTCGGGAAGAATTGGCAACTTAGCACTATTGACTCGTAAAACCATGAGCTTGGACTGTTTCCCTTTCATTTCCCTCCTCAGTCTTGTATTTTTTTTTTTTAACATGGTCTCTGTACACATTTTCTTAGCTGTGTGCCAAAGCATTTCACTTCACTTCTTTTGTTGCCTCAGTGAGTGCTGTTGTGTGTGTCTTTAAAAAAATACCTGATTTATTGATTAGGGCAGGTTAGGGGCTCAGCGAAATCGGGGGCGTCTCGGATGTTCCAGGTTTTGGGGCGCAGGGCCGGCTGCCCGGCAGGCTTCTTTCTGTGGGACACCCGCTGCTTCTCTTACTTTGCTTGCTCCTTCGCATACCGGCTCCTCCTTTCTTTTACGGGACCGTGGGTTCCTCTGAGGTGTCGGTGGGACGTCAGAGAACATGACAGACACTGCTAACCTGTCCCTCTTGCTTGCAGGGGCAGGGGAGGCGTCACCGCCCGGCCCGTTGGCGTTGTGGCCCCACGAGGGGCGTCGGCATCCAGGGGAGTCCTTTCCACCCGAGGGCTTGTGAGTCGGGGACGAGGCCTTCTCACCCCCAGAGCAAGAGGAGTCCCCCCAACCGGGTACAGACCTCCACCGCCACCCCCAACGCAGGAGACCTACGGCGATTACGTAAGTGACAGCATTACAGCAGCTCTAACGATGGGGTTGGCCCGACGCACCTACCCCTGCTCGGTGACATGGCAGGACAGGGGCCACCGTCTCCTCCTCTGGCATAAGAACACTCTCTTCTGAAATGTCGACGATGGGAAGTTTCAGGAGAGGTTGCTAGGGAAAGCCACATAGACAGCGTATGTGCACTGGCATGATTACAAAGTCAGTGTTACTAACACACAGTTTATTATCACAATTTAAAATAACCTGCAGATGTGAATAATTTTCTTATCAACGCCTATCTTCAAATTGATGACTGCCCTGGTCCAGGCACTGCTGATAACGTGAAGCAATGGCATCGCAGACATCGGGAATCCTCTTGTTAGGCCGCACCCTCAATTCATCGACTGTTGCCCGACTGTACCCCCATAAAAAAAAGTTCTATGGCACATTAGGATAAATTTTCTTAGTTCCAAACTTAGTCTGGCTTCACCCATTATTTTAAATCAGTTAAGGAGTGAAAATTGAGTGTTAAAGTGTGTATATATATTTGAAATGTACATGCAGTTCTCTCTATATATAGATTTCAGAGAGGAAGGGAGAGAGAGACATCAGTGATGAGAGAGAATCATTGATCGGCTGCCTCCTGCACACCCCACACTGGGGATCAAACCCTCAAATGGGGCATGTGCCCTGACCGGGAATCGAACTGTGACCTCTTGGTTCACAGGTTGGCGCTCAGCCACTGAGCCACGCCAGCCGGGCACATGCAATTCTTTAACCTAGATTCTGTGAAGTGATACTCCCATTCTTTGGAGAGCTCCCCTGAAGTTTTAATTACCTGACTAGTTTGGATTTAGTGCTGAGGAGGTTGTAGCGACGGCAGAACCTCCCAGTGCAGTGACTGCTGGCTTCGTTTGACAGTTAACTAATCTCTAAACTGCTTCAATTACCTTGTTTTCCATGGTGACAAATTAAAACAGAGTACAGATTGTGAAAAGGTTATTTATGAAAATGCATTTTTAAATGTGAATTGAAAAGCCTAGGGACATCTTTTTATTTCTGCGAAAAAGATGAAGGTTCTGTAATTTTTTTTTTTTTAATCCCCATTTTACCAGAAGCAAGAATCAGAGTCGCAGGCAGTTTGCTCGCCGTGTCTGTCAGGAGCTTCACACGTCGACGTCTTCTCTAAATGCCTGAAGGACTGACCTATTTTAGAAACCCAAGACTTGAGGAAATCATTTCAGATTTAAATTTGTGAATATGGAGGAGTTTATTTGTTCCTCCCGACTTTAAACAAAACAACCCCAAAAAGTGGTTTAGGAAGGAAGTGGGGGGCTGTGCACTGGGCGTCACTAAGATGGGGAGGCTCGCCTTCCTGGTGGGGCTGGTCCCTCCCCAGGTAGCCCAGTGGTCATGGCCGTGCTTGAGCTGCTGTGATGGGTGTGTAATGTCCCCCCCTACCCCCCCGGGGAACCTGAGAGCCACTGGGTTTTCCTCAAGAACCTGAATCTGAGTTTTACTGTTTTCTGGAACATTTGGTCAGCATCATAGAACACAGTCCTTGCCTTCAAGTGGGTCCCGTCGAGAAAGCGAGACAGCCCCGCCTTGAACCCGTCCGTGGCCCCCGTTGTCCGGGGCGGTCCGTCTCTATTGTCTGACTCTGTGTACGCGTCGGGGCAAGGTGCTTACCTTGCAGCGCAGTGATCACGCCTTTTGTCTGACTGTCCCCACGATTCTCACATGATGGATGACGGCGGTCATGCCTTCTTGTCCACAGCGTCCAGCACGTGCAACAAGGAATCGATGTTTGATTTCTTGATGCAGAGACAAAACACAGTTACTCTTCAGGTATCAGCACCCGCCATTGACTTGTAAACAGAATATGGAGGGAGGCCAGAGAGGGAGGACTGAGCCCCGGATGGCATGTGGGCCGACTTTCCAGAGGAGGCGACAGTGAAGCCAGGCGGGTGACGGACTAGCGGCTCGGGCGGGCGTCGGCTGTGCCGGGGCAGCCAGGGAGCTTCGCCGGGGTGTCCGTCGGTTCGCTCATCTCCACCCTCCCGCCCTGATCGGTTCACTCTGCCGGTGGTGGCACAGTGAGGCACAGAGCAGGGCGGGGAGCCTTGAGAGACACCGAGGGCTGAGACGGTAGTCAGGGTGGGCGATGCGAACGCCAGGCCCACTGGCCACCCAGGTTCGTCCGCGTGGCGGCTGCATGCGGGAAGTCGCTCGGGTGGGTGGAACAGGCAGTCCTGGTACATCACAGCATCCAAGGCCACGTCAGGAGCCAGGCTGACGGCTCTCACACCCGCGCTGTGCCTTTCGTAGCTGCGTGACCTCCGGGGAGTGGCTTCGCCGCTCTTTGCCTCCGTTTCTAGTATTTCCACGGAAATATGAGTGCTGATCGCATGAGGTTGTTACGAGGATTGGACAGGTCAACATGTGGACAGCGTGTGAAATGGCGCCTGGCACAGAAAGGGTGACATATAAGCCTTTTTATTGTTGGCCCAGAAGCCCAGTCTTCAGTTTACTGGGGTAGCTCTGCCTGTCGGGGCAGACGCTTGCTCCCTGTGCCCCAGATGAAGGTATGAGAAGCGTGGTATCTAGTACTGTTCACAGGCACCGGGACGATGCAAATTAAAAAGACCGTCTCCGGTGTTAGCCGGAGTGGGTGCGGGTCAGTAGGCGTCCTCACCTTCGTGGTGGGAGTGTACGTTGGTACAACCACGTGGGAGAAATGTTTGGCACCACCTGCTGCTGCCCAGCAGGTGCCCCGGGAGGGAGAAAGACAAACCTGGGCAATATAGAATCCCAGGGCACAAAGGCTCCCATGGCCGCCTGTTCCCCTGCCGTTCAAGGCCCCAGGTGATCTGTGTCCCGCCCACCCCCTCTCCCTCCGGCTCCCTCCACCTCTCTCTGCCTCAGGGCATCTGACTTGCTGTCACTCTGCCTGAGATGCTCCCTCCCCTAAATACATCCCGCCCCCTCCGCTCCTTCCATTCTCCCGCAGTCTCTCTCCTGGCCACCCTGGCTGTGCCCATAGCCTGGTTATAGCTGCGATGCTTGGCTCTGCCCGTCCGCGTCCCCGCTGGGTTGTCAGCCGTGAGGACGCTGTGTTTGCCTTGTCTGAGCTGTACGCCACCCCCAGCGTCCAGAACAGTGTCTGACACACCGTCGGCACACAACAGTGCCTCTGTCCTGGGGAACGGACAGACCGACATAGTCATCTCCAGCGTTGTGTGCGCAGTGTGGGCCTGTGTGCCCCTCTCCCCATCTCTGCGGGATTGCTGGCTCCGTCCTGTCTTCTTTAACTTTCTGTTTACGCTTCTCCCTTCGCTCGCCGTGGGAATCCTGGGCTCGCTTCTTTGTTCTTTGATTTTCCCGAATTGCAGTTTTGAGCACCCAGCCCAGCCCAATCCAAACACACCTGTGTGAGATAGGAGCTGCGCAAGGAGAAGGCGGCCATGAATAATGGACGTCAGTGTGCTTTTGGCAACCGCGTTCTACATGGTCGGATCTCAGCTGATCTCGGTCAGCGTTTCTCCATCTGAGAGCCGCCGTGGTTAACGCTGGGACCTGGGGCCGTGGTGATGCAGACGGCGCCGTCCGGCAGGTGCGAGGCTGTATCGCGTCCTACGAAGATGAACGCCTGCATGGCTCGGGTGGCTCTCTGCCTGACGGCCTGAGCGTGTCCGAGGGAACAGACCTTCACATAAAACAGAACTGCCCTTCCTGGCAAGAACCGTGCCGGCCAGCTTCCACATACATTTGGGCTGTCTGTGTTGTGTTTTGTTTTGCTGAATTTGAGCTGGAGTCTGAACATGGGCATCAGACTCCGAAGTTGTGCGAGTCTCCCGTATAAATAATATACTTATCACACCCATGTGATTGGATTGTCAGATGGTGTTTTATTTACATGACGGTGGGAAACATTCTCATTTAGAATGATTAGTAATATTGTGATTTTTGTCTTTAATTATAAAATAGTGTGGTTGCATGATGTGATATGTGCCTGGTCATTGGTGTTACTCAACAAGGACATTATGACTCAAAACCCCAGAAAAAATGAATTTCTCCAAGCCTAAGAAGCTAATATGTTCGTTTTATAAGCTCAAATCAGCTGTCATAAAGCGAGTTTTAAGTAAGCTGTGAACACTGCATTATCCATGAAAACTTCGTACATTTTGAAATGACCAGACATCACCCTAATTAAGGTGAGGCTTTCGTAGGGTAAATGTCTTTTTTAAAAGGACTCACTCAGAGCTGAAACATTATTTTTAAAATCACCATCTTTCGTAAGTAGTTCTGTTTAAAATGGTTTTTCCCAGCTTAAATGCGATGCTTGATTTTACCTGTGACAGAAATAGAATTTAATGTCATGCTGTTTCCTTTATCCTGGAAAAGCTCTTCTTTTCAAAGCCCGACTTGCCTGCTGTCTGGCCGTGTGTGGGTCGGGGTTTGTGGGTCGGGAATGGCAGGTGGTGGAACAGGCCTCCCTTGCTGACGCCCGGCGCCGACCCCGTGCCCAGGTCGCCCTGTTGGTAAAATAGCATTTAGACACCTTCTTCATCACAGATAACAGCCCAGAGGTGTAGCTTGATGAAAAAATAAGCAAGTCTTTCTTAATGAACCCAGGCGTATATTCATCTACTTTTATTTCTTGTCTGCGTTCGTCCACTATTTTTAATGATGTTGCTCTGATGTTCAGAAATATAGGGTGTCCCAAAATTCACGCATGATTTGAATTTTGCGTGAGCATTAACAACAACAAAAAACAAAAGCCTAATTTTACTTGGTTGATTGAATCAGATTCTAATATCTATTGCCCTTTGATTTCAGTCCCTTCAATTTGATAAGCATTACCCAGTACCAATGATGGCCCAGGAGCAGGGACAAGACCAATGAAGACCACAGCTTTGCGTATGTGCCAGCAAAGCCGTGGAGGCCATTTACCCGATGTGCTATTCCATACATAACCCTATACTGTGTACTTTGAATCGATAAAAAATTTACAATTTTTAATTATAAACCTGTGTTTTCTATCAAAATTACTTCTTGCATGAATTTTGGGACACCCTTTAGAACCCAGCGTCTTAAAGGGAAATTTCCTGCTGGGGGCAGGGGGCGTGAGAATCGCGGGCGGCGTGTGGCAGAGGAGTTCAGGGGTCGGCTCGTCGGAACGGACACTCTCACTAAACACTGCCCTTCATTGTACGTGTCCCTTGATGTGCAGATTAAAGATTTAAAAAAAAAATCAAATTTGGGGAATTTTAAGCCATTATTTCTTCCAATAATCTGCTCTTTTCTCTCCTCACCTTCTAGCTATCTCATTACACAGGTCTCTGAGACACTTTATGTTCTTCATTCTCTTGTTTTTCCTTCTTCCTCAGACTGGACAATCTCAATTAATCTATCCTTAGGTTCACTGATTCTTTCTTCTGTCTAGTCTTATCTGCTGTTGAACCCCTCTGGTGAAATTTTAGTGTTACTTATTGCACTTTTCATTTCAATAATTTCTTCAGATTTTCAAAAACTATTTTCTGTATTTATATTAATATTTTCTCTTTGGCGAGGCATTGTTCTCATATTTCTTTAGCTCTTTAGACACAGGTTATCCTTTAGTTCCTTGAATATATTTCAAATAATGGATTTAAAGCCTTTCCCTAGTAATTCCAATGTCAACTTTCTCAGGGACAGTTGCTATTGTTTATTTTCTTGTGCATGGATGATACTTAAATTTCTTTTGTATCATCACATATTTTTTAAATTTAAAACTGGACATGTAATGTGTCAACTGTGGAAATCAAATTCTCCTCCTTCCTCAGAATTTCTTTGGTGTTTTTATTTTGGTTTAGTGACTTTTCCAAATATTATCAAGTCTGTATATATCACATGTTGCCACTGAAGTGTCTCCCCTGTGTTACCTTCGTGACCACCCAATGACTGGACAGATACTTTACCGAATGCCTGGCAGCTGAGGCCCTCGTGTTTGCCACGAGCCTCTGGGTGCCTGTTGGAGCATGTCTTCCACGCCCACCCAGCCAACTTCCAACTAACTCTGCCTTGGCTTCGCCTTTCCTTCCCGTACTGAACCTCAAGGTCAGCCCAAGGAGAAAGCTCAGGGCCTGCATGCACATCGTCGTCTAGACACCCAGAAACAGATCAGAGCTCAGAGCCCATGTGGACACCTGTTCCCGACTGGTTCCTGTCCGCCTATTGTTTGCTCCAGTTTTTCTCCACCACCACAGGCAGCAGAAACCTTAAATAATTGCCTCTGATTATTTTCTTCAAACACCCCCTGGAGAAAAGGGTATTTTCATGGGATGAGCTCCAAGTCATGTCACATAAAGGCATCCCTCTGGGAATGGGGCTCTGATACAGCCCCACCCTGCCGTGCCCCCTCCATTGGCCTCCAGCCTCCTGGTTTCCATGGTGATTGTGGCTGTTGGATGTTAAGGTCCCCACAGAGCTGGGAGTGAGGGGTGGGGAGAGGAGAAGTTAAAATATGACAAAGCTCACTGTTCATACCCAAGATTGAGCCTTTTAAAAAATATATATTATGCTCCCTAGATCTCTGCAAGCCTTCGGTTAATTCCCATAGGTGTGCACATGTGGATTCTGACCATTTTTGCCAGTTCCTCTTGGTTTTACTTTTTGCTTTTGGCGGTTTTACCACATCATCTCCACTGATGTCCCTGTTACATTTTTCTTTACACCCTAAGTAGATAGATTGCTAAATGCTGGCTGGATGAAGGAAGACGCACTGTAAGCAGAATGCCTCGCTCTTCCCAGACACCCTCTGACCGTCTGTCCTCCTCCCGTCTGTTTCAGGACTATGACGATGGCTATGGCACTGCGTATGACGAGCAGAACTACGATTCCTACGATAACAGCTATAGCGCCCCGGCCCAGAGGTAAGAGCCGCCTCTGGGACCCCGTCACCGACACTGCCCTCCCCGCGTCTGCTCTGGGGAAGGATGGGGATGGCCGTCCTGGGAGGGTAGTCTGACTCGGCCGCTCTGCATGGTGTTTGGTTTAAGTGCAGAATCACCGTCTACCTCCTCTGCAACTTACTGTAGCTTTAAAGCAATGTAGTTCGGGCCCGGTTGGCGTGGCTCAGTGGTTGGGTGTTGACCTGTGAACTAGGAGGTCATAGTTCGATTCCCGGTCAGGGCATATGTCCGGGTTGGGGGCTTTTTCCACAGGAGGCGGCCGATTGATGATTCTCTCTCATCATTGATGTTCCTCTCTCCCTCTCCCTCTCCCTTCCTCTCTGAAGTCAATAAAAAAATATTTTTTTAAAAAAAAGGCAATGCGGCTTGGGAGATAAAAATTGAAATTTTATTCGCTCTGAGAATGTAACCGCTTAGCATATTCTGAGGAGGAACCGTGCCTGTGGAGTCTGGTTACTCAAGGCCTGAGGCCCCAGAGCACATGAGAAACATGTCCGCACCCTGCACTGTCCGTGCCTGGGGAGGGAGCACGAGGTTTGGTTTGTATTCACGGAACCTTTCCATTTCGCAGCAGACACCTTCCAGTCTCTAAGAATCTCAGGTTCCTGGTAGTAATGAGTGGGTTCCCATTCGTTTTCTGAAGAAGTGTTTCTTCAGAAATGCATGTTATTGGAGGCAAGAAAAATGCTTTAAAATTTCCTCTTCTGATGGTATACGTGGTTGTTTGTTGATATTTGAAATCAGTGTTTATTCTGTTCAGAATGTTTTCCTAAATGCCTCGAACCTCTCGCTTTATATTTGAACTTCTAAGTGGAGAATAAAGGCAGACAAACACAGAAGAAAACTGGCGCTGTGAAGCATTAACACTAGGGACCGTGTGGTCATTCTGATGGAGCATAAATTCCCTTTCGGGCTCAGACGGGCTACCAGGCAGGGTTGTGCGTGTTCACCCTGATCCTGAGGCTGACGGTGATTTAAAAGTGTATTTTCTTCTTGCTCTTGCCAAGTCTTCTTCTTATACAATTTGTAAGAGTTAAGTAGCCTTCAGTCTTTGTCAGCTGGTCCTTTTATTTAGTGGAAGCCTCACCCGGCTGGCGTGGCTCAGTGGTTGAGCATCGACCTATGAACCAGGAGGTCACGGTTTGATTCCCTGTCGAGGCACATGCCCGGGTTGCAGGTTCCATCCCCAGTGCGGGGTTGGCAGGAGGCAGCCGATCAATGATTCTCTCTCATCGATGTCTCTCTCTCCCTCTCCCTTACTCTCTGAAATCAATAGAAATATATTAATTTTAAAAATAGGTTCATTTAGTGGCAGCCTGGTGCACGGTGTCTGTGTCCTTGAGGTCGTTAGCACACTCCGTGCTGGCCGGCACCGGCGTCTTCTGGATCAGAGCTTACACAGATATCTCACTGAAGGCCCAGCAGCTTTATGAAGGGTGCGGGGCTATATCGACGAAGAAAGGGGACACGGAGTATATAATTAAACCCTCAGGTCAGTAGGTCAACTCACTAGATGCAGAAAGAATTAGGGAGCATCAGCTCCTACTCAGCCTTTCAAGTGTTCTGTTCTGTGTTTGAGATATAACTTGTTAGTATTATGGGACACATGTCACACATGTGCAGTGACAGTTACCCGCTCACCCACAGCCTTCTGAGGCCAGACACGCGTGGGGCCAAGGCTCTCTCTGGAGCACCCCTGCGCCTTTCCTCCCCTCCTCCCTCCCCCTCCCCCAGGCCTACACTAGACTTGCTTTCTCTCCCCCCTGCTTCTGCCGCTGTAACCTGAGTCCTGCGTCCATGCAGCCCAGTTGGCTCACTTCTCCACGGCTCACTTCTCCTACCTCTGTGTCCAAATGAACTTGTACTTGTACCAAAAAAAGCTGTGGACCCGCGCCATAGAGGTGGGGAGTCTGCAGACCTGCGCTTTGATCCCACTTTAACGCTGACTGTGGGGGTGACCTTGGGCAGTGGCTTCGCCTCTGCACGCCCCAGCTCGTGGGTGGTGGGACTTAGTTCTGTGCTCAAGGGCGGCCTGAAGGTTGAATGAGACAGGCAAGGCCGCAGCCCCTGCCAGGCAGGTGGAGGTCATCTCTGTGTGGGGACGAGCAGGTAGAAACGACCTTCGCCCTCACGGACCCGAGCCGCCGGGCCCCGAGCCCTCACAGAAGTCATACTTTCTTCCCCAGAAAGCCCTTGGGAAAGGTATTCATTTCACTCTAAGCCGAGTGGAATTAATTTTCCTTTGCTGTCTTATTTGTAACCCTGATGACAATCGCTGTTCACAGTGTGGCGGCTCTCGTTCATACAACGCTGTGCTGAAGGCTGGAAATGGGCCCAGAGAGTGGGATTCAGGGGCGCTCATCACTCGGAAAAGGCAACGGAGGGAGAAGGCATGTGGATGAACTTGGCTCTCTGTATATCAAGTCATTCTGTTCCCACTTACACACAATAACCACGTCACTCTGTCTGTAAATCCGCCCCCCCCCCCCCCACACACACACACCCGGGATGAGCATGTGCTAAGGGCATTAGTGTCTGGACGGGGTCACACTGACAAGCTAATTTCCCACTGCACTGTGTGGTTTGACCGTACTTTCAAGTACATACTTCGTTTTCATCCTCCCAAATCGCTGTGATTTTCATGAAAACACTTCAGATGGCTGAAGGAAGGGAATTAGGAATAATAGCAGCCGTTCCGGAGAGCCTGTCCAGCCCCGCGCCCGGCGTCCTGTGTCCTCTCGTGGAGGACCTCGTGTTTGCATCGAAGCCCTGCACGCCGGGTGCCCCTCGCTGGGGAGCTGAGGGTGCGGTGTCTCCAGGGTCACAGCCGAAGGCACTGGAGCGAGGCTCTGTCTGACCCCAGACACCGTGCCCCAGGGAGGAGACGGGTGTCATTGTGAAGCCACTGGCTTTCGAGACAGACGTGGCCAGAGCCCCCGGCTGGCCAGGCAGGGACGGAGGCCGGAGCCGCGGCGCCCCCTGTGCCTCAACGCCGGTGCCGAGAGCGACGGGCGGGCTCCTGCCCTGGGCTCCAGCGCGTTGTCCCTGCTGGTGGCAGCCCTCGCAAGGCCCGGCCGGGGAGACCTCCCCGAGAGCGGGCCCGTCTAGTTCTGAAAATACTGGGGATTTCACTTTGGAAGTGGTAACCTGCCATGTAAGATGCAGCCGTCTGCACGCAGGAAAGCGACCTATTGGAAGACGCAGCGGCGGTGTATCAGGGTTGGCTGTTCCGGATGTTAAAAGGCCAGTGTGGCTCAGTTGGTGGCGTTCTCTCGTGCACCTGCAGGTTGCTGGTTCCATTCCCAGTCAGGGCACATGCCTCATTTTGGTCTCAGCCCCAGTAGGGGGCGTGCAGGCAGCAACCAGTCAATGTTTCGCTCTCTCAAGTTTAATTGATAGGGTGAGTGGACAGAACAGGACGTACCTTCCTGAAAATTAAATAAAACTATGACATAGCGGAGCACGGCGCACGGAAGGGAACTGCTCCTGTGTCTTTGTGAGACGCGTATCGCGAAAGAGACGGTCTTCGCTCTTGCTAAGCACAACGGGTTGTCTAACACCGAGCAAGCATTCTGGGCCAAATGCTGCTTCTTTAGAAGGAACTTCACTTTAATAAGATTGATAACAGCTGTCCTTGAATGAGAGCTTAATCATGTAGCACGTTATCTTATTTAAATCGCAAAACAATCGTATACGAGATTTATTTTTAAAAGTGTTTTACAGAAGTTGAGTTAACTTAGCCTAAGCTTACACACAGCAAGTGCGGGAGCCTCGGTTCTGATAATACATTGGTTTGACCCCAAAGCCCGATCCTTCACTGTGGATTCTCTACTGTCGTCCACACTGATCACAGGAAGATGAGAAACCTGCTTAAAAATGGCCCAGCGACCGTGTAAGGAAAGTACACGCAGGGACGCCCAGCTCAGCCCCGTGAGCGGCTGTGAAACACCCCCGGCTGCGAGGCGCTGCCCGAGAGGCAGGTGTGTGAAGGGAGAGACGGGGACGGAGTGACCTGCAGGCTCTTGTCAACAAAGCTCTTCTTTGTGCTCTTCCCTTTTCTTAGAATCTCATCAGAACTCCATGTTTTTAAAAATCACATAGAACCTCCTGCAACCTTTTTAAAAATTGATTTGAGAGAGAGGGGGGAGGGAGGGAGGGAGAGAGAAACACTGATGAGCTGCTTCCTGCATGCACCTCCGCAGGGGATGGGACCTGCACCTGGGCATGTGCCCCGCCCCTTTCTGATGTCTGGGGTGACGCCCCAACCGCCCGAGCCATACTGGCCAGGGCCCATCTGCAGCCTTTGAGAGGAAGGAACTACAAGAAACCATTAAAGTGAGGAGCCCTCGTTGGATATTTCTGCATCAGAAAACGAGAGATACTCAGCCCCTCATTGCAGAAGGCAGCGCTCTGTCTTCCAGGGCGGGACAAGCTCTGAATTAACATAAATCCAGAGGTCGGAGGCTGGCTTCCTCTCGCATAGGGCTGTCAGCAGCTGCAGGGGTGCAGGTCCCTCCCCGTGTCGTGTCCCAGGCTGGGCTCCGTCTCCGGGGGGCTATTGCAGGTCCCGCCGCCAAGTTGGGGTTCAGGCAAGAAGCAGGGAGCCGAGATGCAAGCCTTTCCCTCCTGGTGGTTGGCCTCCGCCTGGAAACTTCTGGAAGCTTACTCCCAGAGTTTGTTCCTCTCTCTCTCTGGCGACCTCGCCTGCGGAAGTGGCTGCGATGAGGGTTTTGGGTTGATGCGTTGTCACTGGCACCCGGTTGGTCGTACAGGAGCCTCTGGGTAAGAAAGAGGGAAGGTGCGCGGATGCGGCGACAGTGCCTCTTCCCTGTGGTGAACGTTAGGGCGTGGTTTCATTTAGGTTTTCCCTTTTCCTGAGCTATCCCGTACACACAGCAGAGCGCATACATCACCCCCATCTGAAGAGGGTAGTTCGGGGGATGTTCGCCTGGGGGCGCACC